CCCACAACGTGGAACGTGCACATTTGGTTGCTGATGCATGCCCATTTGCTCTTTTCTTCTTGCCCTTGACGCTCGTCGGTAAGAGCTGATCTAAGGTACGTTGGTGGCCTGAGACCTCGTGGCCCTCCCAGCTGAGCCAGCTCTCTCCCCACAGGCCTGGGCTCTCTGCCCGTGGTTGAAATGAAGGGCTACGAGGACGGAGGCGTCCTGCTTGAATGCACCTCTGCGGGGTGGTTCCCGCAGCCGTTCGCGGTGTGGAGGGACCCCGTGGGTGAGGTCATGGCCACGCTGGAGGAGGCTTACACGGCTGAAGACGACGGCCTCTTCTCAGTCGCCACCTCCGTGATCGTCAGAAACAGCTCGGTGAGAAACGTGTCATGTTCCGTCACCAACGCCTTACTCGGCCAGGAGAAGGAAACCGTGATGTTTATTCCAGGTGAGTTCCCTGTCCTCTGGAGACGCGTCTTGCCGAGCAGTGTGCTTCAGTCGGCAGACCAGAGCCCTGAGTGGAGATGGAGGCGTGGAAGTGGGGCGTGCAGCTGAGCGGATGGTTCACCCCTTATCACAAAAGGGAAAAGGAATTTTCTTGCCCACAACCCACCAGGGTAAATCCGATCATTTAAAAACTGTTATGGTCTTTGTCTTGCCCTACTTGCCTGACACTAAGAACCATCATAAGCGGTGGAGAGTGGCTTGAGTAGGGGGTTATCAATAAGAACTTTGATCTTGAGTGCTGCCTGCTGAAGCACCCCCTTCCTGCCCATGGGACACCCCAAGGGGCAGAGGTAGGACAGTTCCCTATCAGAAATTCCATCCACAAATACTTCTTCATCGACGTGTCTTACGTTTAAGGGACGGTTCTAGAAAATAAAGCTAATCAGGGAACCAAATACACCAGGCTTCCTATCCAATTGTGAAATAATTAATAAAAGTGTGACTATATTAGATGGTGAAGGATATTGCAGAAAGAAATAAAGCCGAGGAGGTGGTAGAGCGTGTCAAGTACATTAGGGCATTGTAATTAAAATAAGATGACCAGAGGAAGCTTCCTTAATAAGATGATATTTGAGCAAAGATCAGACTGCAGGAAGCCAAGTGGATATTTGAGGACCGAGCAGCCTAGGT